AGAGGGGGAGATGTGGGCAGGATCATAGGGGTCAGAAGGGGAGATGTGGGGCAGGCTCATAGGGTCAGAAGGGGAGATGTGGGCGCAGGATCATAGGGGTCACAGGGGGAGATGTGGGGCAGGATCATAGGGGTCAGAAGGGGAGATGTGGGGCAGGATCATAGGGGTCAGAAGGGGAGATGTGGGGGCAGGCTCATAGGGGTCAGAAGGGGAGATGTGGGGCAGGCTCATAGGGGTCAGAAGGGGAGATGTGGGGCAGGCTCATAGGGGTCAGAAGGGGAGATGTGGGGCAGGATCATAGGGGTCACAGGGGGAGATGTGGGGCAGGATCATAGGGGTCACAGGGGGAGATGTGGGGCAGGCTCATAGGGGTCAGAGGGGAGATGTGGGGCAGGATCATAGGGGTCAGAAGGGGAGATGTGGGGCAGGCTCATAGGGATCAGAGGGAGATGTGGGGCAGATCATAGGGGTCAGGATGGGAGATGTGGGGCAGGGACATGGGGGTCAGAGGGGAGATGTGGGGCAGGATCATAGGGGTCAGAAGGGGAGATGTGGGGCAGGATCATAGGGGTCAGAGGGAAGATGTGGGGCAGGATCATAGGGGTCAGAAGGGAAGATGTGGGGCAGGCTCATGTGGGGCGGCGCTCTGAGGCTCTGTTCCTCCCGGCCAGCAGGGGGCAGCCCCACAGAGGAGCCGCCGCCGCCTCCCCCTGGGGCCCCGCTCTACGCCCGCTCCTTGCCCGTCTCGGTGCCCTCCTGGCCCTGCGGCCCCCCCGGGGCCCGCCCACACACGCCGAGGGAGCCGCCCATAAGGTGGGGAGGTGTGGGGCAGGGGGGAGATGTGGGCAAGGGGGGAGCTGTGGGGCAGGGGAGGAGCTATGGGGCAGGGGGGAGCTGTGGGCAGGGGTTATCTGTGGGGTGGGGGGATCTATGGGGATGGAAGGGGGATCTATGGGGCGGGGGGGAGCTATGGGGCAGGGGGGAGCTGTGGGGCAGGGGGGAGCTGTGGGGCGGGGGGGGAGCTGTGGGGCGGGGGGGGAGCTGTGGGGCAGGGGGTTATCTGTGGGGTGGGGGGATCTATGGGGATGGAAGGGGATCTATGGGGTGGGGGGGAGCTATGGGGCAGGGGGGAGCTGTGGGGCAGGGGGGGAGCTGTGGGGCAGGGGTTATCTGTGGGGTGGGGGGATCTATGGGGATGGAAGGGGATCTATGGGGTGGGGGGGAGCTATGGGGCAGGGGGAGCTGTGGGGCAGGGGGGAGATGTGGGGCAGGGGGGAGATGTGGGGCAGGGAGGGAGCTGTGGGGGCGGGGGGGAGATGTGGGGCGGGGGGGAGCTGTGGGGCAGGGGGGGAGATGTGGGGCAGGGGGGGGAGCTGTGGGGCAGGGGGGGAGATGTGGGGCAGGGGGGAGATGTGGGGCAGGGGGAGCTGTGGGGCAGGGGGGGAGATGTGGGGCAGGGGGGAGCTGTGGGGCGGGGGGGAGCTATGGGCAGGGGGTTATCTGTGGGGTGGGGGATCTATGGGGATGGAAGGGGATCTATGGGGCGGGGGGGAGCTATGGGGCAGGGGGGAGCTGTGGGGCAGGGGGGGAGCTATGGGGCAGGGAGGGAGCTATGGGGCGGGGGAGAGCTATGGGGCGGGGGGAGCTGTGGGGCAGGGGGGGAGCTGTGGGGCAGGGAGGAGCTGTGGGCAGGGGGGAGCTATGGGGCAGGGGGGGAGGTGTGGGGCAGGGGGGGAGCTATGGGGCAGGGGGGGAGCTACGGGGCAGGAAGGGGGCCTATGTGGTGGGGGGAGCTATGGGTGGGGGGATCTATGGGGAGGGGGGGATCTATGGGACAGGAAGGGGATCTATGGGGTGGGGGAGAGCTATGGGGCAGGAAGGGGGGTCTATGGGGCGGGGGGAGCTATGGGCGGGGGTGAGCTATGGTTTGGGGGGGATCTATGGGGAAGGAAGGGGATCTATGGGGCAGGAAGGGGATCTATGGGCAGGAAGGGGATCGATGGGGGCAGAAAAGGGATCTATGGGGCAGGGGGGATCTATGGGGCAGGGGCTTATCTATGGGGCAGGGGAGTGACCTATGGAGCAGGAAGAGGATCTATGAGGCACAGGAGGATATCTGAGGCAGGGTGGCGATCTATGGGGCAGAGGTTGTCCCTGTGGGGCTGAGAATGGTTATGGGGCACTGCTATAGGAATGACAGACTTACAGGGATGCATCTATAGGGATAAGGAGATTCTAACACGGGTGCTATGGGGCTGGGTATGGATCTATGGGGCAATCTATGGGGCAATCTATGGGCAATCTATGGGGCAATCTATGGGGCTGGGGAGGGTCGCTATGGGTCACATCCCCCCCCCATAGGCATCCCCAGACCTGGAGCGCATCGCGGCCTCCATGCGGGCCCTGGCGCTGCGGGGGGGGGGCGACGGCACCGAGATGTTCGGGGACCTCCCCCGCCCCCCACTGCTGGCTGGGGACCCCCAGTGACCCCCTCCCGTCTATGGGGCACCCCCCATCTATGGGGCAGCCGCTACCTATGGGGCACCCTGGATCTATGGGGCAGCCACTACCTATGGGGCACCCTGGATCTATGGGCACTCCCTATCTATGGGGCACCCCGTATCTATGGGGCAGCCGCTACCTATGGGGCACCCTGTATGTATGGGGCACCCCCCATCTATGGGGCAGCCCCCATAGATGGGGCACCCTGGATCTATGGGGCACCCCCCATCTATGGGGCAGCCGGCTACCTATGGGGCACCCTGGATCTATGGGGGCACTCCCTATCTATGAGGCACCGCCTATCTATGGGGCACCCCGTATCTATGGGGCAGCCCCCATCTATGGGGCACTCCCTATCTATGGGGTACCCCGCATCTATGGGGTAGCCCCCATAGATGGGGCAGCCGCTACCTATGGGGCACCCCCTATCTATGGGGCACTCCCTATCTATGGGGCAGCCCCCCATAGATGGGGCACCCTGGATCTATGGGGCACCCCCCATCTATGGGGCAGCCACTATCTATGGGGCACCCTGGATCTATGGGGCACTCCCTATCTATGGGGCACCGCCTATCTATGGGGCACCCCGTATCTATGGGGCAGCCGCTACCTATGGGGCACCCCCTATCTATGGGGCACCCCGTATCTATGGGGCAGCCGCTACCTATGGGGCACCCCCTATCTATGGGGCACCCCATATCTATGGGGCACCCCGCATCTATGGGGTAGCCCCCATAGATGGGGCACCCTGGATCTATGGGGCACCCCCCATCTATGGGGCAGCCGCTACCTATGGGGCACCCCGTATCTATGGGGCACCCCGTATCTATGGGGCACCCCCCATCTATGGGGCAGCCGCTACCTATGGGGCACCCCCCATCTATGGGGCACTCCCTATCTATGGGGCACCGCCTATCTATGGGGCACCCCGTATCTATGGGGCAGCCGCTACCTATGGGGCACCCCCCATCTATGGGGCACCCCATATCTATGGGGCACCCCGCATCTATGGGGTAGCCCCCATAGATGGGGCACCCTGTATCTATGGGGCAGCCACTACCTATGGGGCACCCTGTATCTATGGGGCACCCCGTATCTATGGGGCAGCCCCCACCTATGGGGCAACCCCACCTATGGGGCACCCCCTATCTATGGGGCACCCCATATCTATGGGGCACCCTGTATCTATGGGGCACCCCCCACCTCTATGGGTCTGCCCCCCAAGTGTGTTTGTGTGTGGGAGCGCCCTAGAGACCGGTCAGTGCTGCCCCCCTCCCCCCCCCCCCAAATAGGGGGTGGGGGAGGGGCAAACGGAGCCCCACCCTACAGCCCCTCCCCCCCACAAGTGTCTTATTAAGGGGGGGGATGGGCGGGTTTAACCCCTCCCCCCCTTGCACAAGGGGTTTCCCCCCCCCAAATTGGGGGCCCCATAGAAGGGGCGCGGCCCCTTTAAGGGGGCGTGGCCTGAGCGCTCCGAGGCTCCGCCCCCTTCTCCTTTTTAGAGCAGAGCTGGGGAAGGCTCCGCCCCCTTTATTTTTTGTCCAAAGATGATTGGGCGGCGCCGAGCGAGGCCCCGCCCCTTGCAGCCAATTAAGAACCGCGTGTTTTAGCAGGGCGCGTTCTGATTGGTTGGAGGCGGCGGGAGGGGGAGGGACCGCCCCTTGAGAGGCGCCTTAAAGGGGGGGCCAATGGGGAGTGCGGGGCTGAGATTTGAGGGCCCCCTATAATAAATGGGGGGGGGGGGTTAAGCCAAACACACAAAGACCTTTATTGGGGGGGACTTGGGGGGCAATGGGGGGGGGAACTTGGGGGCAGTGGGGGGGGACTTGGGGGGCAATGGAGAGGGTTTGGGAGGGCAATGGGGAACTTGGGGGGCAGTGGGGGGAACTTGGGGGGGGAACTTGGGGGGCAATGGGGGGGGACTTGGGGGGCAGTGGGGGGGACTTGGGGGGGGAACTTGGGGGCAATGGGGAGGAACTTGGGGGGCAGTGGGGGGGACTTGTGGGGCAATGGAGAGGGTTTTGGGGGGGCAATGGGGGGAGTTGGGGGGGGTTCGGGGGCAATGGGGCAGTTGGGGGGCAATGGAGAGGTTTTTGGGGGCAATGGGGGAACTTGGGGGGGCAATGGAGGAGTTTTGGGGAGCAATGGGGGAACTTGGGGGGCAATGGGAGGGTTTGGAGGGGACTTGGAGGGCAATGAGGAGAACTTGTGGGGCAATGGGGGGGACTTGTGGGGCAATGAGGAGAACTTGGGGGGCAATGGGTGGGAGTTGGGGGGCAATGGGGGGAGTTGGGGGGCACTTGTGGGGCACTGGGGAGGTTTGGGGGGCAATGGGGGAAACTTAGGGGGCAATGAGAAGAACTTGGGGGGCACGGGGGGGACTTGTGGGGCACTGGGGGTTACTTGTGGGGCAGCTGTGGGGCACTGGGGGGCACTTGTGGGGCACTGGGGGTTACTTGTGGGGCAGCTGTGGGGCACTGGGGGGTTTGGGGGGCACTTGTGGGGCACTGGGGGGCACTTGTGGGGCAGCTGTGGGGCACGGGGGGTTGGGGCCCCCCCTACGCCTGCATCACGGGCCGGGATTTCTGCGCTTCCAAACAGATCCCGGAGCCGGCGAATCCGGTTCCACCCTGCAATGGGGGGTGGGGGGTGAGGGGGGGACCCCAAAACGGCATTGACCCCCCCATAGCCCCATTGAACCCCATTGATCCCCATTGTGCCCCATTGAACCCCACTGATCCCCCATTGATCCCCATTGTGCCACATTGATCCCCATTGAACCCCATTGATCCCCATTGATCCCCATTGTGCCCCATTGATCCCCATTGAACCCCATTGATCCCCATTGTGCCCCATTGAACTGCATTGATCCCCCATTGAACCCCATTGTGCCACATTGATCCCAATTGAACCCCATTGATCCCAATTGTACCCCATTGATCCCCATTGTGCCCCACTGAACCCCATTGATCCCCATTAACCCCTATTGACCCCATTGTGCCCCACTGACCCCCATTGTGCCCCATTAACCCCACAGACCCCATTGAACCCCACTGATCCCAATTGACCCCCATTAACCTCATTGATTCCATTGCGCCCCATTGCATCCCATTGCCCCCTATTGACCGCATTGCCCCCCATTGACCCCATCGCCCCTATTGCCCCCATTGTGCCCCATTGCCCCCCATTGACTCCATTGCGCCCCATTGACCCCCTTTGTGCCCCATTGCCCCCCATTGACCCCATTGCACCCATCGCCCCCTATTGCCCCCCATTGTGCCCCACTGAGCCCCATTGCACCCAATTGACTCCATTGAACCCCATTAACCCCTATTGACCCCATTGCCCCCCATTGCGCCCATTGTCCCCCATTGACCCCATTGCCCCCCATTGTGCCCCACTGCCCCCCATTGCCCCCCATTGTGCCCCACTGCCCCCCATTGCCCCCCATTGTGCCCCACTGCCCCCCATTGTGCCCCATCGCCCCCCATTGACCCCATCACCCCCCATTGTACCCCATTGCCCCCCATTGCGCCCCATTGTGCCCCATTGACCCATTGCACCCCATTGATCCCCATTGCCCCCCATCACCCCCATTGTACCCCATTGCCCCCTATTGCCCCCATTGACCCCATTGCCCCCCATTGCATCCCATTGACCCCCTTTGTGCCCCATTGCCCCCCATTGACCGCCATTGTGCCCCATTGATCCCCATTGCCCCCCATTGACTCCATTGTGCCCCATTGACCCCATTGCCCCCCATTGACCCCATTGTGCCCCATTGACCCCATTGTGCCCCATCACCCCCCATTGTACCCCATTGCCCCCATTGACCCCATTGTGCCCCATTGATCCCCATTGCCCCCCATTGACCCCATTGTGCCCCATCACCCCCTATTGACCCCATTGCCCCCATTGCCCCCATTGTGCCCCATTGATCCCCATTGCCCCCCATTGACCCCATTGTGCCCCATCACCCCCATTGTACCCCATTGCCCCCCATTGCATCCCATTGACCCCCTTTGTGCCCCATTGCCCCCCATTGACCCCATTGCGCCCCATTGCCCCCCACTCCCCCCATTGCGCCCCATTGCCCCCCATTGATCCCCATTGCCCCCCATTGACCCCATTGTGCCCCATCACCCCCCATTGTACCCCATTGCCCCCTATTGCCCCCCATTGACCCCCATTGCATCCCATTGACCCCCTTTGTGCCCCATTGCCCCCCATTGCCCCCCATTGCCCCCATTGCCCCCATTGCGCCCCACTGCGCCCCATGGACCCGCTGCAGGACGATGATGTCCCCCTCGCTCAGGGGCTCCCCCGTCACCGGGTCCTTCATCTCCTTGCGGATGAGGCGCTCCACGCAGTCCAGCGTCACCACGGCCCCCCTGCCCCACACATGGGGGTCAGGGCCGCTTGGGGGTCCCAGGGGGTCCTATGGGGTCAGTTTGGGGTCCCAGGGGGGTACTTAGGGGTCCCATGGGGCACTTAGGGGTCCTATGGGGTCAGTTTGGGGTCCCAGGGGGGTACTTAGGGGTCCCATGGGGCACTTAGGGGTCCTATGGGGTCAGTTTGGGGTCCCAGGGGGGTACTTAGGGGTCCTATGGGGTCAGTTTGGGGGTCCCAGGGGGCACTTGGGGGTCCCATGGGGCACTTAGGGGTCCTAGAGGGGCATGTGGGGGTCCCAGGGGGCACTTGGGGGTCCCAGGGGGCAACTTGGGGGTCCAAGGGGGGAACTTAGGGGTCCTATGGGGTCAGTTTGGGGTCCCAGGGGGGTACTTAGGGGTCCCAGGGGGCACTTAGGGGTCCTATGGGGTCAGCTTGGGGTCCCATTGGGGCAGTTAGGGGTCCCAGGGGGGCACTTAGGGGTCCCATGGGGTCAGTTTGGGGTCCCAGGGGGGCACTTAGGGGTCCCAGGGGGGCACTTAGGGGTCCTATGGGGTCAGTTTGGGGTCCCAGGGGGCACTTGGGGGTCCCAGGGGGCACTTGGGGGTCCCAGGGGGGAACTTAGGGGTCCTATGGGGTCAGTTTGGGGTCCCAGGGGGTCACTTAGGGGTCCCATGGGGTCAGTTTGGGGTCCCAGGGGGGCACTTAGGGGTCCTATGGGGTCAGTTTGGGGTCCCAGGGGGGCACTTAGGGGTCCTATGGGGTCAGTTTGGGGTCCCAGGGGGGCACTTAGGGGTCCCATGGGGCACTTAGGGGTCCTATGGGGTCAGTTTGGGGTCCCAGGGGGGTACTTAGGGGTCCTATGGGGTCAGTTTGGGGGTCCCAGGGGGCACTTGGGGGTCCCATGGGGCACTTAGGGGTCCTAGAGGGGCATGTGGGGGTCCCAGGGGGCACTTGGGGGTCCCATGGAGGCACTTGGGGGTCCCAGGGGGTCAGTTTGGAGTCCCAGAGGGGCACTTGTGGGTCCCAGGGGGCCACTTAGGGGTCCCAGGGGGGGACTTAGGGGTCCTAGAGGGGCATGTGGGGGTCCCAGAGGACAACTTGGGGGTCCCATGGGGGCACTTAGGGGTCCTATGGGGTCAGTTTGGAGTCCCAGGGGGGCACTTAGGGGTCCCAGGGGGGTACTTAGGGGTCCTATGGGGTCAGTTTGGGGTCCCAGGGGGGCACTTGGGGGTCCCATGGGGTCAGTTTGGGGTCCCAGAGGGGCACTTGTGGGTCCCAGGGGGCCACTCAGGGGTCCTAGAGGGGCATGTGGGGGTCCCAGGGGGCACTTGGGGGTCCCAGGGGGTCACTTAGGGGTCCCATGGGGTCAGTTTGGGGTCCCAGGGGGGTACTTAGGGGTCCCATGGGGTCAGTTTGGGGTCCCATGGAGGCACTTGGGGGTCCCAGGGGTTCACTTATGGGTCCCAGAGGGGCATGTGGGGGTTCCAGGGGAGCACTTGGGGGTCCCAGGGGGTCACTTGGGGGTCCCAGGGGGGCACTTAGGCGTCTCTATGGGCTCTATGGGTCTCTATGGGTCCCAATGTCTCCCAATGGCTCCCTATGGCTCTCTATGGTTCCCTATGGGTCCCAATGGCTCTCTATGGCTCCCTATGGGTCTCTATGGTTCCTTATGGGTCCCAATGGCTCCCTATGGGTCTCTATGGGTCCCAATGGGTCCCAATGGTTCCCTATGGGTCTCTATGGGTCCCAATGGCTCCCTATGGGTCTCTATGGGTCCCAATGGCTCCCTATGGGTCCCAATGGTTCCCTATGGGTCTCTATGGCTCCCTATGGGTCCCAATGGCTCCCTATGTGTCTCTATGGCTCCCTATGGGTCCCAATGACTCCCAATGGCTCCCTATGTGTCCCAATGGCTCTCTATGGTTCCTTATGGGTCCCAATGGCTCCCTATGGGTCTCTATGGGTCCCAATGGTTCCCTATGGGGTCTCTATGGGTCCCAATGGCTCCCTATGGGTCCCAATGGTTCCCTATGGGGTCTCTATGGGTCCCAATGGCTCCCAATGGCTCCCTATGGGTCCCAATGGCTCCCTATGGGTCTCTATGGGGTCCCAATGGCTCCCTATGGGTCCCAATGGCTCCCTATGGCTCCCAATGGCTCCCTATGGGTCCCAATGGCTCCCTATGGGTCCCAATGGTTCCCTATGGGGTCTCTATGGGTCCCAATGGCTCCCTATGGGTCCCAATGGTTCCCTATGGGGTCTCTATGGGTCCCAATGGCTCCCAATGGCTCCCTATGGGTCCCAATGGCTCCCTATGGGTCTCTATGGGGTCCCAATGGCTCCCTATGGGTCCCAATGGCTCCCTATGGCTCCCAATGGCTCCCTATGGGTCCCAATGGCTCCCAATGGCTCCCTATGGGTCCCTATGGGTCCCAATGGCTCCCTATGGGTCTCTATGGCTCCCTATGGGTCCCAATGGCTCCCTATGGGTCCCAATGGCTCCCTATGGGTCTCTATGGGTCTCTATGGGTCCCAATGGCTCCCAATGGATCCCAATGGTTTCTCTATGGGTCCCAATGGCTCCCTATGGGTCTCTATGGCTCCCTATGGGTCCCAATGGCTCCCTATGGGTCCCAATGGCTCCCTATGGTTCCCAATGGTTCCCTATGGGTCCCAATGACTCCCAATGGTTCCCAATGGTTCCCAATGGCTCTCTATGGGTCCCAATGGCTCCCAATGGCTCCCTATGGGTCCCAATGGGGTCTCTATGTGTCCCTATGTGTCCGGGCCCACTCACGACGGCCGCAGCACCGCGCAGGAGCTGCCGTTGCCCAGGGGGTCACAATGGCTCCCAATGGCTCCCTATGGGTCTCTATGGGTCTCTATGGGGTCTCTATGGGTCCCAATGGCTCCCTATGGGTCTCTATGGGTCCCAATGGCTCCCTATGGGTCCCAATGGCTCCCAATGGCTCCCAATGGTTCCCTATGGGTCCCAATGGCTCCCAATGACTCCCAATGGCTCCCTATGGGTCCCAATGGCTCCCTATGGGTCCCAATGGTTTCTCTATGGGTCCCAATGGCTCTCTATGGCTCCCTATGGGTCTCTATGGGTCCCAATGGCTCCCTATGGGTCCCAATGGCTCCCTATGGGGTCTCTATGGGTCCCAATGGGGTCTCTATGGGTCCCAATGGCTCCCTATGGCTCCCTATGTGTCTCTATGGGTCCCAATGACTCCCAATGGCTCCCAATGGGGTCTCTATGGGTCCCAATGGGGTCTCTATGGGTCCCAATGACTCCCAATGGCTCCCTATGGGGTCTCTATGGGTCCCAATGGCTCCCAATGGCTCCCAATGTGTCCGGGCCCACTCACGACGGCCGCAGCACCGCGCAGGCGCTGCCGTTGCCCAGGGGGTCCCAATGGCTCCCTATGGGTCCCAATGGTTTCTCTATGGGTCCCAATGACTCCCAATGGCTCCCTATGGGTCTCTATGGGGTCTCTATGGCTCCCAATGGTTCCCTATGGGGTCTCTATGGGTCCCAATGGCTCCCAATGGCTCCCTATGGGTCTCTATGGCTCCCTATGGGTCCCAATGACTCCCAATGGCTCCCTATGGCTCCCTATGGGTCCCAATGGCTCCCTATGGGTCCCAATGGCTCCCTATGGGTCCCAATGGCTCCCTATGGCGTCTCTATGGGTCCCAATGGCTCCCAATGGCTCCCCATGGTTCCCAATGCGTCCGGGCCCACTCACGACGGCCGCAGCACCGCGCAGGCGCTGCCGTTGCCCAGGGGGTCCCAATGGCTCCCTATGGGTCCCAATGGCTCCCAATGGGGTCTCTATGGGTCCCAATGGCTCCCAATGGATCCCAATGGTTTCTCTATGGGTCCCAATGGCTCCCTATGGGTCTCTATGGCTCCCTATGGGTCCCAATGACTCCCAATGGCTCCCTATGGGTCCCAATGGCTCCCTATGGGTCCCAATGGCTCCCAATGGCTCCCTATGGGTCTCTATGGGTCCCAATGGCTCCCTATGGGTCCCAATGGCTCCCCATGGTTCCCAATGGCTCCCAATGTGTCCGGGCCCACTCACGATGGCCGCAGCACCGCGCAGGCACTGCCGTTGCCCAGGGGGTCCCAATGGCTCCCTATGGGTCCCAATGGCTCCCTATGGCGTCTCTATGGGTCCCAATGGCTCCCAATGGCTCCCTATGGGGTCTCTATGGCTCCCAATGGCTCCCTATGGGGTCTCTATGGGTCCCAATGGCTCCCAATGGCTCCCTATGGGTCCCAATGACTCCCAATGGCTCCCCATGGTTCCCAATGCATCCGGGCCCACTCACGACGGCCGCAGCACCGCGCAGGCGCTGCCGTTGCCCAGGGGGTCCCAATGGCTCCCAATGGGTCCCAATGACTCCCAATGGCTCCCAATGGCTCCCTATGGCTCCCAATGGCTCCTTATGGGTCCCAATGGCTCCCAATGGTTCCCTATGGGTCCCAATGGCTCCCAATGACTCCCAATGGCTCCCTATGGGTCCCAATGGTTTCTCTATGGCTCCCAATGGCTCCCAATGCATCCGGGCCCACTCACGACGGCCGCAGCACCGCGCAGGCGCTGCCGTTGCCCAGGGGGTCCCAATGGCTCCCTATGGGTCCCAATGGCTCCCAATGGCTCCCAATGGCTCCCAATGACTCCCAATGGCTCCCAATGGCTCCCAATGGCTCCCAATGGCTCCCTATGGGTCCCAATGGCTCCCTATGGTTCCCAATGCATCCGGGCGCACTCACGACGGCCGCAGCACCGCGCAGGCGCTGCCGTTGCCCAGGGGGTCCCCGCTCACCGCGCACCGGTACCGGGAGCCCGGGGCCCGCGCCAGGAGCTGGGGGCGCCGCAGCCCCGGCTCCAGCGGCGCGAAGCGAACGGGAACCAGGTCCCGCAGGCGCAGGCGGCGCCCACTCATGGGGCACCGCGCGCCCCCCGCCTGCCCCAGAGAGACACTGGTTAGGGGGTGCCCCATAGAGACACTGGTTAGGGGGTGCCCCATAGAGACACTGGTTAGGGGGTGCCCCATAGAGAGAGGTTATGGGGCTGCCCCATAGAGGGGTTATGGGGTGCCCCATAGAGGGGTTATGGGGTGCCCCATAGAGAGAGGTTATGGGGTGCCCCATAGAGAGAGGTTATGGGGCTGCCCCAGAGAGAGAGGTTATGGGGTGCCCCATAGAGAGAGGTTATGGGGTGCCCCATAGAGGGGTTATGGGGTGCCCCATAGAGAGAGGTTATGGGGTGCCCCATAGAGAGAGGTTATGGGGCTGCCCCAGAGAGAGAGGTTATGGGGTGCCCCATAGAGAGAGGTTATGGGGTGCCCCATAGAGGGGTTATGGGGTGCTCCATAGAGGGGTTATGGGGCTGCCCCATAGAGAGGTTATGGGGTGCCCCATAGAGAGGGGTTATGGGGTGCCCCATAGAGGGGTTATGGGGTGCTCCATAGAGAGGTTATGGGGTGCCCCATAGAGAGAGGTTATGGGGTGCCCCATAGAGGGGTTATGGGGTGCTCCATAGAGGGGTTACGGGGTGCCCCATAGAGAGAGGTTATGGGGTGCCCCATAGAGAGAGGTTATGGGGTGCCCCATAGAGGGGTTATGGGGTGCCCCATAGGGAGGGGTTATGGGGCGCCCCATAGAGAGGTTATGGGGTGCCCCATAGAGAGAGGTTATGGGGTGCTCCATAGAGAGAGGTTATGGGGTGCCCCATAGAGAGAGGTGATGGGGCTGCCCCATAGAGAGAGAGAAGGAGTTATGGGGCTGCCCCCTAGAGACAGGTGATGGGGGTGCCTCATAAAGAGCACTTATGGGGCAGGAGGAGCCACGCTATTGGGCAGGGGGAGCCACGCTATTGGGCAGGGGGAGCCGCGCTATGGGGCAGGAGGAGCCGCGCTATGGGGCAGGAGGAGCCGCGCTATGGGGCAGGAGGAGCCGCGCTATGGGGCAGGTGGACTTGCGCTATGGGGCAGGGGGAGCCGCACTATGGAGTGGGGGAAGCCGCGCTATGGGGCGGGGGAGACCGCGCTATGGGGCAGGGGAAGCCGCGCTATGGGGCGGGGGGAGCCGCGCTATGGGGCGGGGGGAGCCGCGCTATGGGGCGGGGGGAGCCGCGCTATGGGGCAGGGAGAGCGCGCTATGGGGCAGGGGGAGCCGCGCTACGGGGCGGGGGGAGCCGCGCTATGGGGCGGGGGGAGCCGCGCTATGGGGCGGGGGGAGAGCGCGCTACGGGGGGGGGGGGGAGCCGCGCTACGGGGCGGGGGGAGCCGCGCTATGGGGCGGGGGGAGACCGCGCTATGGGGCGGGGGAAGCCGCGCTATGGGGCGGGGGGGAGCCGTGCTATGGGGCTGGGGGGACCGCGCTATGGGGCAGGGGGGAAGCCGCGCTATGGGGCGGGGGAGCCGCGCTATGGGGCGGGGGGAGCCGCGCTATGGGGCGGGGGAGCCGCGCTATGGGGCGGGGGAGCCGCGCTATGGGGCAGGGGGGAAGCCGCGCTATGGGGCACTCACCGGCTTGCGCAGCCGCTCAGCTCCAGCCTCGGGGGTCAAGGATGGGATCCAGAAGCTTGGGAGGGTCCCAGAGGGGCCGGGGTCTATGGGGGGCCAGGGGGGTCAGAGCTGTGGGGCTGCCCCATAGCCCTGCCCCCTAGCTCAGCCCCATAGCCCTGCCCAATAGCTCAGCCCCATAGCTCAGCCCCATAGCCCTGCCCCACAGTCCAGCCCCATAGCCCTGCCCAATAGCTCAGCCCCATAGCCCTGCCCCACAGTCCAGCCCCATAGCCCTGCCCCATAGCTCAGCCCCATAGCTCACCCCCACAGCCCTGCCCCATAGCCCAGCCCCATAGCTCAGCCCCACAGCCCAGCCCCATAGCCCAGCCCCACAGCTCAGCCCCATAGCTCAGCCCCATAGCCCAGCCCCATAGCTCAGCCCCACAGCCCTGCCCCACAGCCCAGCCCCACAGCCCTGCCCCACAGCTCAGCCCCACAGCCCTGCCCCATAGCTCAGCCCCACAGCCCTGCCCCACAGCCCAGCCCCACAGCCCAGCCCCACAGCCCTGCCCCACAGCCCAGCCCCACAGCCCAGCCCCATAGCTCAGCCCCACAGCCCTGCCCCACAGCTCAGCCCCACAGCCCAGCCCCATAGCCCAGCCCCACAGCCCTGCCCCACAGCCCCCCCATACCATCACTGCTCCCGCCGGCCGCCAGGGGGCTCTGTTTCTGCTTCTGCTGCTCCCGCTCTTGCTGCTGCTGCCGCCGATAGGCCTGGGGGGGGAAGTGACCCATAAGTGATCCCTGGGACCCATAAGTGACCCCTAGGACCCATAACTGACCCATAAGTGACCCCCTGGGACCCATAAGTAACCCCTAGGACCCATAAGTGACTCCCTGAGACCCATAAGTGCCCCCTGGGACCCCTAAGTGCCCCATAAGTGCCCCCTAAGTGCTCCCTAAGCGCCCCCTGGGACCCCTAAGTGCCCCATAAGTGCCCCGTAAGTGCCCCTGGCACCTCTAAGCGCCCCCTAGGACCTGTAAGTGCCCCATAAGCGCCCTCTAAGTGCCCCCCGGGACCCCTAAGTGCCCCCTAAGTGCCCCATAAGTGCCCCCCGGGACCCCTAAGTGCCCCCTAAGTGCCCCCCAGTACCCATAAGTGCCCCCTAAGTGCCCCCTAGGACCCATAAGTGCCCCCTAAGTGCCCCCCGGGACCCATAAGTGCCCCCTAAGTGCCCCCCGGGACCCATAAGTGCCCCCTAAGTGCCCCCTAGGACCCATAAGTGCCCCATAAGTGCCCCATAAGTGCCCCCTAGGACCCATAAGTGCCCCATAAGTGCCCCATAAGTGCCCCCCTAGGACCCATAAGTGCATCCTAAGTGCCCCCTGGGACCCCTAAGTGCCCCCTAGGACTCATAAGTGCCCCATAAGTGCCCCATAAGTGCCCCCTAGGACCCATAAGTGCCCCATAAGTGTCCCCCGGGACCCCTAAGTGCCCCATAAGTGCCCCCTAGGACCCATAAGTGCCCCATAAGTGTCCCCGAAGTGCCCCCCGGGACCCCTAAATGCCCCATAAGTGCCCCATAAGTGCCCCCCGGGACCCCTAAGTGCCCCCTAAGTGCCCCCCGGGACCCCTAAGTGCCCCCTAAGTGCCCCATAAGTGCCCCCTAGGACCCATAAGTGCCCCATAAGTGTCCCCAAAGTGCCCCCCGGGACCCCTAAATGCCCCATAAGTGCCCCATAAGTGCCCCCCTAGGACCCATAAGTGCATCCTAAGTGCCCCCTGGGACCCCTAAGTGCCCCCTAAGTGCTTCTAGGACCCATAAGTGCCCCATAAGTGCACCCCGGGACCCCTAAATACCCCATAAGTGCCCCATAAGTGCCCCATAAGTGCCCCCTAGGACCCATAAGTGCCCCCTAAGTGCCCCATAAGTGCCCCCTAAGTGCCCCCTAGGACCCATAAGTGCCCCATAAATGCCCCCTAGGACCCATAAGTGCCCCATAAGTGCCCCCTAAGTGCCCCCTAGGACCCATAAGTGCCCCATAAGTGCCCCCTAAGTGCCCCATAAGTGCCCCCTAGGACCCATAAGTGCCCCCTAAGTGCCCCATAAGTGCCCCCTAAGTGCCCCCTAGGACCCATAAGTGCCCCATAAGTGCCCCATAAGTGCCCCCTAGGACCCATAAGTGCCCCCTAAGTGCCCCCTAGGACCCATAAGTGCCCCATAAATGCCCCCTAGGACCCATAAGTGCCCCATAAATGCCCCCTAGGACCCATAAGTGCCCCATAAGTGCCCCCTAGGACCCATAAGTGCCCCCTAAGTGCCCCCTAGGACCCATAAGTGCCCCCTAAGTGCCCCCTAGGACCCATAAGTGCCCCCTAAGCGCCCCCATAGCGTCCGTACCTTCCTCTGCCTCGCCAGCTCCCCCTTGCGGTGCAGCAGGTACTGCACGATGGCCTCGCGCTCGTACAGGAACCCATCGGGGCTGTGGGGAGGGGACATGGGGGGCAATGGGGGGGGTTGGGGTCATTTTGGGGGGGTTTTGGGGTCATTTTGGGGCGTTTTTAGGTATTTTTGGGGTGATTTTGGGGTGTTTTGGGGTTTTGGGGGGGGTTTTGGGTGGTTTTGGGGTCATTTTGGGGCGTTTTTAGGTATTTTCAGGGTGATTTTGGGGTGTTTTGGGGGGTTTTTGGGGTGATTTTGGGTGGTTTTGGGGTCATTTTGGGGGGGTTTGGGGTCATTTTCGGGTGTTTTTAGGTGTTTTGGGGGTCATTTTGCGGTGTTTTTGGGGTGATTTTGGGTGGTTATGGGGGTGTTTTTGGGTCATTTTTGGGTGTTTTTAGGTGTTTTTGGGGTCATTTGGGGTGTTTTGGGGGTGATTTTGGGTGGTTATGGGGGTGTTTTGGGGTCATTTTCGGGTGTTTTTAGGTATTTTTGGGGTGATTTTGGGGCGTTTTGGGGGTCATTTGGGTGTTTTTTGGGGTGATTTTGGGTGGTTTTGGGGTCATTTTTGGGTGTTTTTAGGTATTTTCAGGGTGATTTTGGGGCGTTTTGGGGTGATTTTGGGTGGTTTTGGGGTCATTTTGCGGTGTTTTTGGGGTGATTTTGGGTGGTTATGGGGGTGTTTTGTGGTCATTTTCGGGTGTTTTTAGGTATTTTTGGGGTGATTTTGGGGTGTTTTGGGGTGATTTTGTGGTGTTTTTGGGGTGATTTTGGGTGGTTTTGGGGTCATTTTGGGGGGTTGTTAGGTATTTTCAGGGTGATTTTGGGGTGTTTTGGGGTGTTTTTGGGGTGATTTTGGGTGGTTTTGGGGGTGTTTTGGGGTCATTTTCGGGTGTTTTTAGGTATTTTTGGGGTGATTTTGGGGCGTTTTGGGGTGATTTTGGGTGTTTTCAGGGTGTTTTGGGGTCATTTGGGGTGTTTTGGGGGTGATTTTGGGGTGTTTTTAGGTGTTTTTGGGGTGATTTTGGGGTGTTTTTAGGTGTTTTTGGGGTGATTTTGGGTGTTTTTGGGGTGTTTTTGGGTGTTTTTAGGTGTTTTTGGGGCGTTTTGGGTGTTTTTGGGGTGATTTTGAGGTGTTTTTAGGTGTTTTTGGGGTGATTTTGGGTGTTTTTGGGGTGTTTTGGGTGTTTTTGGGGTGTTTTTAGGTGTTTTTGGGGTGTTTTTGGGTGTTTTTAGGTGTTTTTGGGGTGTTTTGGGTGTTTTTGGGGTGATTTTGGGGTGTTTTTAGGTGTTTTTGGGGTGATTTTGGGTGTTTTTGGGTGTTTTTAGGTGTTTTTGGGGTGTTTTGGGTGTTTTTGGGGTGATTTTGGGGTGTTTTTAGGTGTTTTTGGGGTGATTTTGGGTGATTTTGGGTGTTTTTAGGTGTTTTTGGGGTGTTTTGGGGGTGATTTTGGGTGCCTCACGTGACCACGGGGTCCCGGCAGGGCTGCAGGGAGAGGCAGCAGCAGTCGAAGTCCTTGACCGCGTCGCGGCCGATGCGGAGCCGTTGGGTGCCGTAACCGGAGGCCGCTGGGGGGGGGGAACAGGGGCACCCCAATGAGCCCAGGACCCACATATACCCCATGTACCCCCATAGGTCCCCTATATCCCCCCTATATCCCATATATCACTCCCTATACCCCCCTATATCACCCCTACAACCCCTATATCCCCTCTATACCCCCCCATATCACCCCCTATATCTCCTATATCCCCCCTATATCCCCTGTATCACCCCCTACCCCCTCTATACCCCCCCATATCCCATATATCACCCCTTATACCCCCCCTATATTCCCTATACCCCCCATATCATCCCCAATATCACCCCTTTACCCCCTATATCCCATATATCACCCCCTATACCCCCCATATACCCCCTATATCCCATATATCACCCCCTATATCCCTCCTATATCCCCCCTATATCACCCCTATACCCCCTATATCCCCCCTATACCCCATATATCACCCCCTATATCACCCCTATACCCCATATATCACCCCCTATACCCCATATATCCCCCCCATACCCCATATATCACCCCCTATACCCCATATATCACCCCCTATACCCCATATATCCCCCCTATACCCCATATATCACCCCCTATACCCCATATATCACCCCTATATCCCATATATCACCCCCTATACCCCCCTATATCACCCCTACAACCCCTATATCCCCTCTATACCCCCCCATATCACCCCCTATATCTCCTATATCCCCCCTATATCCCCTGTATCACCCCCTACCCCCTCTATACCCCCCCATATCCCATATATCACCCCTTATACCCCCCCCATATTCCCTATACCCCCCATATCATCCCCAATATCACCCCTTTACCCCCTATATCCCATATATCACCCCCTATACCCCCCATATACCCCCTATATCCCATATATCACCCCCTATATCCCTCCTATATCCCCCCTATATCACCCCTATACCCCCTATATCCCCCCTATACCCCATATATCACCCCCTATACCCCCATATCCCCCCTATATCACCCCTATACCCCATATATCACCCCCTATACCCCATATATCACCCCCTATACCCCATATATCCCCCCCATACCCCATATATCACCCCCTATACCCCCTATATCCCATATATCACCCCCTATATCCCCCCTATACCCCATATATCCCCCCTATACCCCATATATCCCCCCTATATCCCATATATCACCCCATATCCCCCCACATCCGCCCCACATCTCACCCGTGTCTTTCTTCTTCTCATGGTAGGTGTAAACGGCCCCGGCCGTGCAGTTCTTGCCGTGCCGCGTCATAGCGGCCTCGGGGGGGCGCCGAAGGGACCCGAGTGGTTCCGAACGGACCCGAGCGCGCCCGAAGGGACCCGAGTGCGCCCGAAGGGACCTGCAGGGGGAGCCCCAAAGCGGTCGGAGGGGCCCGAGGGGTCCCGAAGGGTTCAGAATGGGGGGTTCGGGGGGTTCCGAAGGGGTTCGGGGGGTCCCGAATGGGGGGTTCGGGGGGTCCCGAATGGGGGGTCCGAAAAGGGGGGTTCAGGGGGTCCCGAAGGGGTTCGGAGGGTCCCGAATGGGGGGTTCGGGGGCTCCGAAAAGGGGGGTTCGGGGGGTCCCCAATGGGTTCGGAGGGTCCCAAATGGGGGGGATCGGGGGGTTCCGAATGTGTTCGGAGGGTCCCGAATGGGGGGGTTCGGGGGGTTCCGAAAGGGGGGTTCGGGGGGTCCCGAATGGGTTCAGAGGGTCCCAAATGGGGGGGTCGGGGGGGTCCGAAAGGGGGGTTCGGGGGGTCCCGAAAGGGTTCGGAGGGTCCCGAATGGGGGGGTCGGGGGGTTCCGAAAGGGGAGGTCAGGGGGTCCCGAATGGGGGGGGCGGGGGGTTCCGAAAGGGGGGTTCGGGGGGTCCCGAATGGGTTCGGATGGTCCCAAATGGGGGGGGTCGGGGGGTTCCGAAAGGGGGGTTCGGGGGGTCCCGAATGGGTTCAGAGGGTCCCAACTGGGGGGGTCGGGGGGTTCCGAAAGGGGAGGTCAGGGGGTCCCGAATAGGTTCGGAGGGTCCCGAATGGGGGGGTCGGGGGGTTCCGAAAGGGGAGGTCAGGGGGTCCCGAATGGGGGGGGGCGGGGGGTTCCGAAAGGGGGGTTCGGGGGGTCCCGAATGGGTTCGGATGGTCCCAAATGGGGGGGGTCGGGGGGTTCCGAAAGGGGGGTTCGGGGGGTCCCGAATGGGTTCAGAGGGTCCCAACTGGGGGGGTCGGGGGGTTCCGAAAGGGGAGGTCAGGGGGTCCCGAATAGGTTCGGAGGGTCCCGAATGGGGGGGTCGGGGGGTTCCGAAAGGGGGGTTCGGGGGGTCCCGAATGGGTTCGGAGGGTCCCGAATGGGGGGTTCGGGGGGTGCCGAAAGGGAGGACCGAAAAGGGGGGTTCGGGGGGTCCCGAATGGGTTCGGAGAGTCCCGAATGGGAGGGTCGGGGGGTCCCGAATGAGTTCGGAGGGTCCCGAATTGGGAGTTCGGGGGGTGCCGAAAGGGAGGACCGAAAAGGGGGTTCGGGGGGTCCCGAATGGGTTCGGAAGGTCCCGAATGGGATCGGAGGATCTCGAAGAGGCCCGAAAGGGTCCGAAAGGTCCCGAATGGGGATAGGGGGGTCCGGAAGGGCCCGAAGGGTCCCGAGAGGGTTCGGAGGGTCCCGAAAGGAGCTCGAGGGGGGTCCCGAAGGGCCCCGACCGGTACCGAAGGGTCTCGAATGGGTCCGGAAGGTCCCGAAAGGGGGTCGGGGGGTGTCCCGAAGGGGTTCGGAAGGTCCCGAAGGGTCCCGACGGGTACCGAAGGGTCCCGAAGGGGTTCGGAAGGTCCCGAAAGGAGCTCGAGGGGGGTCCCGAAGGGCCCCGACCGGTACCGAAGGGTCCCGAATGGGTCCGGAAGGTCCCGAAGGGGTTCGGAAGGTCCCGAAGGGTCCCGACCGGTACCGAAGGGTCCCGAAGGGGTTCGGAAGGTGCCGAAAGGGGGTCGGGGGGGGGGGGCCCGAAAGGGTTCGGAAGGTCCCGAAGGGGTCCGAGAGGGTTCGAAAGGTCCCAAAGGTCCCGAAAGGCCCCCGAAGGGCCCCGAAAGGAACTCGAGGGGGGTCCCGAGAGGGTTCGCAGGGTCCCGATGGGCCCCGAACGGTACCGAAGGGGTCCGGAAGGTCCCGAAGGGGTTCGGAAGGGTTCGGAGGGTACCGAGGAGGTCTCGACCGGTACCGGAAGGTCCCGAATGGTTCCGGAAGGTCCCGAACGGGTTCGGGTGTCCCCGGGCCCGGCACCTCCGTCCCCCGCCGCACCGGAAACCCAAGTACCGCAACCGGAACCGGGTTCTTTACCGGAAGTGCAACGCTGAAAAGGGACCGCCCCCCCCTTTTCCTCCTCCTCCCAGCCCCGCCCCAACCGGAAGTCGCCTTGAGGCGGCGCCGGGTGCAGCAGCGATAAAGGTCCGGGTGCTCCCCGCCCACCGCCTCGCTTGGCTCCGCCCCTTCCCCTCCCTTGGCCCCGCCCCCGCCTTGGCTCCTCCCACTCCCCGCGCTCCCGCCACTGCCTAGGCCCCGCCCCTTTCTCCCCGTAGCCTGGCCCCGCCCACCCCCCCTCATTGGCTCCTCCCCTTTCCCCCCTTCCTTCATCGTCATTGGCTCCTCCCAATCCCGAGCTCCCGCCACCGCCTGGCTCCGCCCACCCCCCTCCTCCTCCTCATTGGTTCATCCCAATTCCCCGCCCCAGCCTGGCCCCGCCCACCCCCCAATTGGCTCCTCCCTTCCCCCCCTTTCCTCCTCATTGGCTCCTCCCACTCCCGCATTCCCGCCACCTCCTGGCTCCGCCCCCTCTCTCTCCCTCCTCCTCATTGGCTCCTCATCTTCCCCCCCCCTCCCTTCCCCCTCATTGGCTATTCCCATTCCCCTTCCTCTCCTCTCCCTCCTCATTGGCTCCTCCCACTCCCGCTCTCCCGGCTCCTCCCCTTCCCCTCCTCTCCCTCCTCATTGGCTCCTCTCACACCCGCTCTCCTGTCTCCACCCCCCCTCCCTCCCTCCTCCTCATTGGCTCCTCCCCTTCCCCTCCTCTCCCTCCTCATTGGCTCCTCCCACTCCCGCTCTCCCGCCACCGCCCAGCCCCGCCCACCCCCTCCCTTCCCTCCCTCCTCATTGGCTCCTCCCCTTCCCCTCCTCTCCCTCCTCATTGGCTCCTCCCTTTCCCCTCCTCTCCCTCCCCATTGGCTCCTCCCACTCCCTCTCTCCCGGCTCCTCCCCTTTCCCCCTCCTCTCGCTCCCCATTGGCTCCTCCCCCTCCCGCTCTCGCGGTGCATTGTGGGCGGAAGCGGCGCGCGCGGCCCCCTCCAACATGGCCGCCCCGTGAGCGCTTCCTTTCCCCCCCCCTCCCCTCCCCCTTCGCGGCCGCTCCCGCCGCCGCCTTCCCCCCTCCCCTCCCCCTCTCCGGTTCCAACCGGTACCGACGACCCCCCCCTCCCCCTCCCCCCACACCCCCCCCCCACCCTCCCCCCACCCCCGCCCCCATGGACCGGAACTACCCCGCGGCCGGGTTCGGGGACCCCTTGGGGGCTGGGCCCGGGTGGAGCTACGAGCGCTCGGCCAAGGCCAGGTGAGGGGCGAGGGGGGACGCGAGCGGGTGATGGGTGCTGGGTGCAATGGGTGCTGGGGACCGGTTACATTGGGTGCAATGGGTGCTGGGTGCAATGGGTGCTGGGGACCGGTTACATTGGGTGCTGGGGACCAGTTACATTGGGTGCAGGGGACCGGTTACATTGGGTGCAATGGGTGCTGGGTGCAATGGGTGCTGGGTGCAATGGGTGCTGGGGACCGGTTACATTGGGTGCTGGGGACCGGTTACATTGGGTGCAATGAGTGCTGGGTGCAATGGGTGCTGGGGACCGGTTACATTGGGTGCTGGGGACCAGTTACATTGGGTGCTGGGGACCGGTTACATTGGGTGCAATGGGTGCTGGGTGCATTGGGTGCTGGGTGCAATGGGTGCTGGGGACCGGTTACATTGGGTGCTGGGGACCAGTTACATTGGGTGCAATGGGTGCTGGGTGCAATGGGTGCTGGGGACCGGTTACATTGGGTGCAATGGGTGCTGGGTGCATTGGGTGCTGGGTGCAATGGGTGCTGGGGACCGGTTACATTGGGTGCTGGGGACCAGTTACATTGGGTGCAATGGGTGCTGGGTGCAATGGGTGCTGGGGACCGGTTACATTGGGTGCAGGGGACCGGTTACATTGGGTGCAATGGGTGCTGGGTGCAATGGGTGCTGGGTGCAATGGGTGCTGGGGACCGGTTCCATTGGGTGCTGGGGACCAGTTACATTGGGTGCAATGGGTGCTGGGTGCAATGGGTGCTGGGGACCGGTTACATTGGGTGCTGGGGACCGGTTACATTGGGTGCAATGGGTGCTGGGTGCAATGGGTGCTGGGTGCAATGGGTGCTGGGGACCGGTTACATTGGGTGCAATGGGTGCTGGGTGCAATGGGTGCTGGGTGCAATGGGTGCTGGGGACCGGTTACATTGGGTGCAATGGGTGCTGGGGACCGGTTCCATTGGGTGCAGGGGACCGGTTACATTGGGTGCAATGGGTGCTGGGTGCAATGGGTGCTGGGTGCAATGGGTGCTGGGGACCGGTTACATTGGGTGCAATGGGTGCTGGGTGCAATGGGTGCTGGGGACCGGTTCCATTGGGTGCAGGGGACCGGTTACATTGGGTGCAATGGGTGCTGGGTGCAATGGGTGCTGGGTGCAATGGGTGCTGGGGACCGGTTACATTGGGTGCTGGGGACCAGTTACATTGGGTGCAATGGGTGCTGGGTGCAATGGGTGCTGGGGACCGGTTACATTGGGTGCTGGGGACCGGTTACATTGGGTGCTGGGGACCAGTTACATTGGGTGCAATGGGTGCTGGGTGCAATGGGTGCTGGTTACATTGGGTGCTGGGGACCGGTTACATTGGGTGCAATGAGTGCTGGTTACATTGGGTGCTGGGGACCGGTTACATTGGGTGCAATGAGTGCTGGTTACATTGGGTGCTGGGGACCGGTTACATTGGGTGCAATGGGTGCTGGTTGCATTGGGTGCTGGGTGCAATGGGTGCAGGTTACTTTGAGTGCTGGGTGCAATGGGTGCTGGCTACATTGGGTGCTGGGTGCTGGTTACATTGGGTGCTGCGTGCTGGGGACCGGTTACATTGGGTGATGGGTGATAGGTGCTGGGTGCAATGGGTGATGGGTGCAATGGGTGTAATGGGTGCTGGGTGCAGGTTACATTGGGTGCTGGGTGATGGGTGCTGGGTGCTGGTTACATTGTGTGCTGGGTGCATTGGGTGATGGGTGCTGGGTGCAGGTTACATTGGGTGATGGGTGCAGTGGGTGCTGGATGCAATGGGTGCTGGGTGCAGGTTACTTTGGGTGCTGGGTGCTGGTTACATTGGGTGCTGGGGACCAGTTGCAATGGGTGCTGGGTGCAATGGATGCTGGGTGCTGGTTCCATTGGGTGCTGTGTGTAGGTTATGTTGGTTGCTGGGTGTTGATTCCATTGGATACTGAGAACAGGTTACATGGGGTGCTGGGTGCATTGGGTGCTGGGGACTGGTTGCAATGGGTGCTGGGGACCAGTTGCAATGGGTGCTGGTTGCAATGGGTGCTGGGTGCAATGGATGCTGGGTGCTGGTTCCATTGGGTGCTGTGTGTAGGTTGTGTTGGTTGCTGGGTGCTGATTCCATTGGATACTGAGAACAGGTTACATTGGGTGCTGGGTGCATTGGGTGCTGTGCGCAGGTTACATTGGGTGTTGAGAACCGGTTACATTGGGTGCTGGGTGCAGGTTACATTGGGCGCTCTGTACTGGGTGTTGGTTGCATTGGGTGCTGTGTGCAGGTTACATTGGGTGCTCTGTACCGGTTGCATTGGGTGCTCGGTGCTGGGGACCGGTTACATTGGGTGTTGGGTGCAATGGGTTCTGGGGACATGGGTGCTGGGGACCGGTTGTATTGGGTGCTGGGGACCAGTTACATTGGGTGCTGGAGACTGGGATCCAGTTGCAATGGGTGCTGGGTACCCATTGCATTGGGTACTGAGGACATGGGTGCTGGGGACCGGTTGCATTGGGTGCTGGGTGCAGGTTACATTGGGTGCTGGTTGCAATGGGTGTTGGTGCTGGGTACCAGGATCCAGTTGCAATGGGTGCTGGGTACCCGTTGCATTGGGTGCTGGGGACTGGTTGCATTGGGTGCTGGGGACTGGTTGCATTGGGTGCTGAGTTCTAGGTACCGGTTGCATTGGGTGCTGGGTACTGGTTGCATTGGGTGCTGAATACCCATTGCATTGGGTGCTGGGGACTGGTTGCATTGGGTGCGGGGGATCAGTTACATTGGGTGCTGGGTACTGGTTACATTGGGTGCTGGGGACCAGTTGCACTGTGTGCTGGTTCCATTGGGTGCTGGGGACCGGTTGCACTGGGTGCTGGTCTATGGGGTGCTGGGTGCTGCGGTGCTGGCTGCTCCATGTACCGGGTGCTGGGGTGCAGGGATCACATTGAAGCAAGGGTTGGGTGCCATTGGGGTGCTGGGGTCCTATTGCAATGGGTGCAGAGGGGTGCTGGGGTCCCAAAGCAGTCAGTGGGTGCCTGGGTCCCATTGTAATGGGTGCAGAGAGTTGGGTGCTGGTGTAGCATTGCAACGGGTGCAGAAGGGTGCTCAGTTCCCATTGCAATGGGTGCTGAGGGTTGGGTGCCATTAGGGATTGGGGGTCCCATTGCTGCGTATGGGGGGGTTCCATTACTATGAATGGGGGGGTCTCATTGCTATGAATGGGGGGGTCCCATTATTATGGATGGGGGGATCCCATTGGTATGAATGGGGGGTCCCATTGTTATGGATGGGGGGGTCCTATTGCTATGAATGGGGGGGTCCCATTGCTATGAATGGGGGGTCCCATTGCAATGGATGGGGGGGTCCCATAGATATGAATGGGGGGGTCCCATTGCTGCGTATGGGGGGGTCCCATTGCTGCGTATGGGGGGGTTCCATAGATATGAATGGGGGGGTCCCATTGCTGCGTATGGGGGGGTTCCATTGCTATGAATGGGGGGGTCCCATTGTTATGGATGGGGGGATCCCATTGGTATGAATGGAGGGGGTCCCATGGCAATGGATGGGGGGGTCACATTGCTATGAATGGGGGGGGATCCCATTGGTATGAATGGGGGGTCCCATTGCAATGGATGGGGGGGTCCCATAGATATGAATGGGGGGGGTCCCATTGCTGCGTATGGGGGGGTTCCATTACTATGAATGGGGGGTTCTCATTGCTATGAATGGGGGGGGATCCCATTGGTATGAATGGGGGGGTCCCATGGCAATGGATGGGGGGGTCACATTGCTATGAATGGGGGGGGATCCCATTGGTATGAATGGGGGGTCCTATTGCTATGAATGGGGGGTCCCATTGCTATGAATGGGGGTGTCCCATGGCAATGGGTGCCCCCCAGCTCTGACCCTGCCCCTATTCCCCCCCCCCCAGCCTCGTGTACGGGGGGTCCCGGGCGCCGCACGCGGAGCCGGAGCTGCTCCCCCGGCAGCCGTACGGAGCCCCCCACCCGCTGCAGGGCTACGGCCCCAACCATCACCCCACAGGTACCCCCATGGCCCCCCGGTGTTCCCATTGCATCCCCATATCCCCATGTGCTGTGTCCCCATAACCCCCACCCCATATATTCTATATCTCATAGACCTTATACTGCAGCTTCTATGTTCTATATAGTCTATATCCTGCGTTGCTCATATCCCATATATCCCATATTCCATATCCCATGTACCCCATATCCCATATTCTGCATCCCATATACCTCATATCCCATATTCCATATCCCATATTCTGCATCTCATATACCTCATATCCCATATTCCATATCCCATGTACCCCATATCCCATATTCTGCATCCCATATACCTCATATCCCATATTCCATATCCCATATTCTGCATCCCATATGCCTCATATCCCATATTCTATATCCTATATTCTGCATCCTATGTACCTCATATCCCATATTCCATATCCCATGTACCCCATATCCCATATTCTGCATTCCATATACCTGATATCCCGTATTCCATATCCCATATACCCCCTATCCCATATTCTGCATCCCATATACCTCATATCCCATATTCCATATCCCATGTACTCCCTATCCCATATTCTGCATCCCATATACCTCATATTCCATATCCCATGTACCCCCTATCCCATATTCTGCATCCCATATACCTCATATCCCATATTCCATATCCCATGTACCCCATATTCCATATTCTGCATCCCATATACCTCATATACCATTCTGTGTATCCCATATCCCGTATTCCATATCCTATATACCCCATATCTCTCATATCCCATGCTGTATATCTCATATTCCATATTCCATATACCCCATATCCCATATACCCCATATCCCATATTCTGTATCCCATATACATCATATCCTATACTGAATATCCCATATTCTCTATCCTATATCCCCCATATCCCATATTTTGCATTCCATATAACTCATATCCCATACTGTATATTCCATATTTCATACGCCATATCCTCCATATCCCATATTTTGCATTTCATATCCCATACTGTATTCCCATATCCCATATTCTATATCCCATATACCCCATATCCCATATTCTGCATCTCATATCCCATACTGTATATCCCATATCCCCTATTCTGTATCCCATATACCCCATATCTCATATTCTGCATCCCATATACTTCATATCCCATGCTGTATATCCCGTATCCCATATTCCATATCCCATATACCCCATATCCCATATTCTGCATCCCATATACCTCATATTCCATACTCTATATCCCATATCCCATATCCTACATACTCCATATCCCCTACTTTCATGCCATATTACATGTGTTGTATATGGCAAACCCCATGTTTCATATCTCATGGGCTCTCTATCCCATACTTTACGTCCCATATTCCATATCCCATATATACCACATCCCATATCCCATATATCCCATACTTTATATTTCATATTTTAATACCCTGTATGTACCGTATATCATTCCATGTTTTGCACCCTATATAGCTCCTATTCTGTGTTTTATATTTGATGTTTTATGTATGCTATATCCATGCATCCTATACTTTATATTCCATATTGCATATCCCATCTATTCCGTATGTTATGTATGCCGTATCACATGTATTTCATATTCCATATATCCCATACCTCACATCCCATATACCCCATGCCCCATATCCTGTGTCTCATATCCCATATAACCCATACCTGATATTCTATATTTCGTATCCCATATACCCCATATCCTATATCCCATATCCTTGTATCCTCTCATCCATTCCTATATCCCACTGCTATATCCCATATCCCATACCCTATATGCCATATATCACTCCTATATCCCCTATCCCATTCCTATATCCCATATTCCATACCCTATATGCCCTATTCCACTTCTATATCCCATATCTCATACCCAATATTCTATGTTTCATATCCCATATACCCCATATCCCGTACGCTATATCCCATATCCCATACTTTATATCCCACATCCCACACCTATATTCCATATCCCACTCCTATATCCCATACTCCATATCCCATACGTCCTGTATCCTATATCCCATATCCCATACCCCATACATCCCATATCTCATACCGCATACCCCATATCCCATACCCCATATATCCCATATCTCATATCCCATACCCCATAACCCATATCCCATACCCCATACCCCATACATCCTATACCCCATATCCCATAACGCATACCCCATATCCCATATATCCCATGCCCCATACCCCATATGTCACATACCCCATACATCCCATACTCCATAGATCCCATACCCCATATACCCCATACCCCATATACCCCATGCCCCACACCCCATATATACCCTATACGCCATACCCCACACGCCATTCCCCATACATTCCATACCCCATATCCCATACCCCATATATCCCATATCTCATATCCCATACCCCATAACCCATATCCCATACCCTGTACCCCATACATCCTATACCCCATATCCCATAACGCATACCCCATATCCCATATATCCCATGCCCCATACCCCATATGTCACATACCCCATACATCCCATACTCCATACATCCCATACCCCATATACCCCATACCCCATATACCCCATGCCCCACACCCCATATATACCCTATACCCCATACCCCACACGCCATTCCCCATACATTCCATACCCCATATCCCATACCCCATATACCCCATACCCCATATACCCCATACACCCTATACCCCACACCCCATACTCCATACATTCCATACCCCATATGCCATATACCCTATATACCTTATACCCAATACCCCATGCCCCATATATCCCATATACCCCATATCCCGTACCCCACATGCCATACCCCATACATCCCATACCCCATATCCCATACCCCATACCCCATATACCCCATACCCCATACATCCCATACCCCATATCCCATACCCCATACCCCATATACCCCATACCCCATACATCCCATACCCCATACCCCATATCCCATACCCCATATACCCCATACCCCATACATCCCATACCCCATATACCCCATACCCCATATATCCCATACCCCATATACCCCATACCCCATACATCCCATACCCCATACCCCATATCCCATACCCCATAGCCCATATACCCCATATCCCATACATCCCATACCCCATATCCCATACCCCATATCCCATACCCCATACCCCATATACCCCATACCCCATACATCCCATACCCCATACCTCATATCCCATACCCCATACCCCATATACCCCATACCCCATATCCCATACCCCGTACCCCATACATCCCATACCCCATATCCCATACCCCATACCCCATATACCCCATACCCCATACATCCCATACCCCATACCCCATACCCCATACACCCCATATACCCCATATACCCCATACATCCCATACCCCACACCCCATACACCCCATACACCCCCCACCCCATACATCCCCCCCCACCTCCCACCCCACATCCCTGACCCCTTTCTCTCCCCCCCGCAGGGCTCCCGGGGCTCTTTGAGCCGGGGCTGCACCACGCCGGGGCCGCGGCTCCGGACGCCTCCGTCATGAACCTGATCTCGGCGCTGGAGCCGCGGCCCCAACCGGGCCCGGCCGCGTCCTCGCTGCTCTCCCAGTTCCGCAGCCCCTCCTGGCAGACCGGTAACGGGGGGGGGATGGATTCATCCTGACCTGGGGGGAGATGGATAGCCCCCCATATAGGCCATTACCCCCCCATATACCCCAATATCCCTCATTACCCCCCCATATACCCCAAGGCCCCCATTGCCCCCTATATACCTCAATACCCCTCATTACCCCCATATACACCAATACCCCCCATTACACCCCCATATACCCCAGGGCCCCTATTACCCCCCCATATACCCCAATACCCCCCATATACCCCCATACCCCCCATATACCCCAATACCCCCCATTAACCCCCATATACCCCAATACCCCCCACATACCCCAATACCCCCATTCCCCCCCATATACCCCAATACCCCTCATTACCCCCCATATACCCCATTACCCCTCAATACCCCCCCATATACCCCAATCCCCCCTATATACCCCAATACCCCCCTTACCCCCTATATATCCCCATAACCCCCCATTACCCCCTATATATCCCAATACCCCATTTACCCCCCCATATACCCCATTACCCCCATTTATACCCCAGGGCCCTCATATACCCCCCATCTACCCTATACCCCCCATATACCCCAATACCCCTCATTACCCCCCATATACCCCAATACCCCCCATATACCCCAATACCCCCCTTACCCCCTATATATCCCCATACTCCCCATTACCCCCCATTTATACCCCAGGGCCCTCATATACCCCAATACCCCCCATTCCCCCCCATATACCCCTATACCCCCGTATACCCCAATACCCCTATATACCCCAATACCCCCCTTACCCCCTGTATATCCCCATACTCCCCATTCCCCCCCATTTATACCCCAGGGCCCTCATATACCCCAATACCCCCCATTCCCCCCCATATACCCCTATACCCCCCGTATACCCCAATACCCCCTATATACCCCAATACCCCCCATTACCCCCTGTATATCCCCATACTCCCCATTACCCCCCATTTATACCCCAGGGCTCTCATATACCCCAATACCCCCCATTCCCCCCCATATACCCCAATGCCCCCCATATACCCCAATACCCCCTATATACCCCAATACCCCCCCTTACCCCCTATATATCCCCATACTCCCCATTACCCCCCATTTATACCCCAGGGCCCTCATATACCCCAATACCCCCATTCCCCCCCATATACCCCTATACCCCCCGTATACCCCAATACCCCCTATATACCCCAATACCCCCCCTTACCCCCTGTATATCCCCATACTCCCCATTACCCCCCATTTATACCCCAGGGCCCTCATATACCCCAATACCCCCCATTCCCCCCCATATACCCCAATGCCCCCCATATACCCCAATACCCCCTATATACCCCAATACCCCCCTTACCCCCTATATATCCCCATACTCCCCATTACCCCCCATTTATACCCCAGGGCCCTCATATACCCCAATACCCCCCATTCCCCCCCATATACCCCTATACCCCCCGTATACCCCAATACCCCCTATATACCCCATTCCCCCCCATATCCCCCAATACCCCATGCCCCCCATAACGCCCCCCATCCCCCCCCCCACTCTAACCCCATTTCCCCCATTGCCCCCCAGCCATGCACACCCCAGCACCGGCCGAACTCTTCATCTCTGGCGCCCTTCCCGGCTCCGGCACCTTCCCGGCTTCATCCGCCCTCGGCGCTTACCAACACCCGGCCCCGTTCCCGGCACGGAGCTTCCCGGTGAGCTCGGCCCTCACGCTCCCGGAGCCTCCCTTCAGCCCCGGTTCCAACGGCCTCCTTTCCCCCACGACCCCTTGCTGCACATCAAACCGGCTCAAGCCCCGGTGCCGCCGCCGCCGCCGCCTCCGCCGCCTCCGCCGCCGCCTCCGCCGCCACCGGCGCTGGGCTTCGAACGCTTGGGCACCGCGGTGCTGGGTTCGGCGTTGCCGGCGCAGAGCCCCGCGTACCGCGGCGCCGCCGGCGCCTCCCAGTTCAACCTGCTCTCGGCTCCCTTGGCCGAGCAACCGGCGCAGCTCTACAACGCCTCCGTGTTCGGCGGCGCCGGCGAGCGCGCCGTGCCGCGCCAGGACAGCGTCATCAAGCACTACCAACGCCCGCGCTGCCCAAGGCCCACGGCCTCCAGCATTACCTGAGCTGCGGGGGAGCTACCAACAGATGCCCCCGCACCGCGGCGGGGCCTTGGCCTGCAGCCCTTTGGGCGAGCAGAGCCCCGGCAGCGCCGAAGCCACCCAACAGGCGAGCAAAGGCGGTGCCGTGGTGCCGCGGCCGGAGCCGGCGCCCAGTTACCGGCCCATCATCCAATCGCCGGCTTATTCCGGCGGCAACGGCGCCAACGCCAACGGCGCCAACGGCGCCAAATCCAGAGCTACTCGGCGGCGCGGCAGACGCCGCGCTCCACCGCCACCCCCAAGTGCCAAAGCAGCTTCAGCACCAGCACCCCCAAAGCCAGCTCCGTCATCTCCAGCCATTCCCGGCCTATTCCCCGTTGGCTCTGGGGCCGGGGGCTGCTTACGGGGCCAGCACCGCGCCGCCGCCGCCGCCACCGCAAGCCAGCTCCGGCTTCAGCAGCACCGCGAGCGCTGGCGGCGGCGGTGGCGGCGGCGGCGGCGGCGGCGACTTGGGGGGCAAGGCACCGGGTACCCCCCCCCTCCAAGCGCCGGGGGGCAAAGCGGGGGCCCGGCCTGCGTGGGGCAAGGCCAAGGCTTCTCGCCGGAGCAGCTCCAAGCGCTTCCCTATGGGGTGCAGGCGGAAGTGGGGTCTTTGTCCTATAGCACCGGGCATTCCCCGGCCGTGCCGGCGCCGCTTCCCTATAGCCCCGCTCCCAGCATCCGGCCCTTGCAGTCGCCGCCGGCGGCGCGGAGCTCGCCGGGGCAATCCCAGAAGTACCTGGGCTCCGTGCTCTCGCCCTCCTTTATGGCACCGGGATACGGCACGGGAGCAGGAGGAGGAGGAGGAGGAGGAGGAGGAGGAGGAGGAGGCGGCGGTGGAGGTGGAGGAGCGACGACGCCGGGCACGGCGCCGGCCCCGGCGGCCGTGGAGCGGGCTCCAGCCTTCGGCAAAGGCACCAAAGGGGACGCCGAGCTGTTGGGCGCCGAGCGGAGCGAGGATGAGGACTTCTTGATCCAGCACCTCCTGCAGGCCCCTAGCCCCCCATCGAGGGGGGAGCCCTTAGGGGGCGGCTGCGAGGAGCGCGGCGCCGGCGCCAAGAGCATGGCGACGGGTTACGGAGCCTTGGCCAAGGCGGAAGAGCGTTACCAGTTACAGAGCGTGATCCGGCCCAATTCCAACCTGGAGGCGCCCTTGGAGTTGGCGCTCTTGAAGGAGAAGAAGAAGCCGGAGCGAGGCAAGGAGTACCGGAGCGCCGGCAACGGCGCCGAGGGCTTGGCGGCCACCTCCGTGGTCCATTACGGCCACCAAGCGGCGGCGTTGGACTCCTACGAGCTGAAGAAGCCCGGCGCCAAGGACATGGGGCAGCCCCACGGTTACTTAGCCAAGACCCCCGAGCACGGGCGTTTGGTGGCCGAACCCCCCCCTTTGGAACCCCATGGGCTCCTCCTAGACCCAGCCCCTGAGCTAGGACCGGTGCAAGTGGGGCCGGTGCCGGGGGGGGCAGCGGCTCTGTTGCCCTCCGTCCTCACCCATACCCAGAGCCAACTCCATCCCCGCGCCAAAGCCCGGCCCCAGCTCGACGTCCACCTCTTGGAGCAGCAACGGATGCCGCCGCCGCCACCGCCGCCGCCTCCACCGCCACCGCCGCCATCAGCCCCACCAGCACCGGCCCCCCCGGCTGCCCCGTCCCCGCAGCTGCTCTTGGACGCCCATCACCTGCACCAGGCCCACGTGCGCGGCGGGCAAGGCCTGGAGCCGCCGGCGCCGTTGCCGCCGGAGCCTATGGAAGTCTTGCCGGCTCCTCAAGAGATCCAAGACTTCCTGGAGCCTCCTTTGGGTTTGGAACCTCATTTAGGGCAAGCCGGAGCGGTCCAAGGCCCGCCGGGGCATCTCTTGGACCCCGACGGAGGAGCCCCATCGGTGACGGCGACGCCGTTGGAAGGCAAGGACCAGTTCAGCGAAGGGGGGAGCCCGGCGGGGGGCAAGAACCGCTTCGTGCCCTTGACTTCCATCTGCTTCCCGGACGCTCTCCTCCAAGACGAAGACCGCGGCTTCTTCCCCGGCATGGAGGACATGTTCGGGCCGGCCCCGGAGGACTTCCCCAAGGCGACGGAGGAAGAGGAGGAAGAGGAAGGCGCCGGCGGCTTGGAGGGGCGCGGCGACGCCTTGAAGCCTCCCCCGTACGACATGGGAGGCCCGGCCTACCCTTCGTTCTGCGCCGCGCCGGCCGCCGCGCCGCCGCTGCCTTTGGAGCCCCCCAAGCACGAGTTGCCGTCGACGGTCAACGCGGAGCCCTTGGGTTTGATCCAAGGCACCGAGAGCACCAAGCCGGCTCTGCCCACGCCGCTCTTCTGCTCTTCCAAACCCAAGAAGCTCCTCAAGACCTCGTCCTTCCACCTCCTGCGCAAGAGGGACCCCTTCCCGCCCCCCAAGAAGACCTACGCGCAGGAATACGAGTTCCAGGACGACGAGGACAAAGCCGACGTCCCCGCCGACATCCGCCTCAACAGCCGCCGTCTCCCGGACCTCCTGCCCGACCTCATCTCGAGTTGCCGGGCTCGGCCCCCTCCTCTCAGCCCCATTCCCGGCGGGGATCCTTTGGCTTTCCCTTCGGCCGCCGCTACGGCCCCTACCCACCACCACCACCACCCTACGGCGCCCAAGAAGCGCGGGCGCAAACCCACCAAGCCCAAGCGCGAGGGACCCCCCCGGCCGCGGGGACGGCCTCGGATCAGGCCTTTACCGGAACCCCCCCCGCCGCCGCCGCCGCTGCCGCCGTCGCCGTTGCCCCACGGGCTCCTCCTGCCCCATCCCGACGCGGCCAAGAGGCCCCGCGGGCGAGGAAGGGGCCGGGGTAGGAAGGGAGGGGAAGAGGCAGGAGATGGGAATGGGATGGAGGCGTTGAAGCCGCTCAAGGTGAGGGGGCACGGGGGGGGCGGGTGAGGTGTCCGTGGGGCGGGGGTGGGGGGTTCCTTGGGGGCTGTGGTACCCAATGATGTCCAAAAGGCCCCATTGATGAAGATAGGGATGGGGTGGAGCCTGTCAAGGTGGGGACGTTGGGGTGAACGTTGATGGATATGGGGGTGGTTGGGGGGTTCCTTGTGGGCTGTGGTACCCAATGATGTCCAAAAGGCCCCATTGATGGAGGTGGGGATGGGTTGGAGCCCATCAAGGTGAGGATATTGGGGTTATGCATGGGGATATTGGGGTGAACATTGATGGATATGGGGGTGGTTAGGGGGTTCCTTGTGGGCTGTGGTACCCAATGATGTCCAAAAGGCCCCATTGATGGAGATGGGGATGGGTTGGAGCCCGTCAAGGTGGGGACGTTGGGGTGAACGTTGATGGATATGGGGGTGGCTGCGGGGTTCCTTGGGGGCTGTGGTACCCAATGATGTCCAAAAGGCCCCATTGATGAAGATAGGGATGGGTTGGAGACCATCAAGGTGGGGACATTGGGGTGAACGTTGATGGATATGGGGTGGGTTGGGCTGGTTTTGGGGTCCCTTGTGGGCTGTGGTACCCAATGATGTCCAAAAGACCCCATTGATGGAGATGGGGATGGGTTGGAGCCCATCAAGGTGAGGATATTGGGGTTATGCATGGGGATATTGGGGTGAACATTGATGGATATGGGGGTGGTTGGGGGGTTCCTTGTGGGCTGTGGTACCAAATGATGTCCAAAAGGCCCCATTGATGGAGGTGGGGATGGGTTGGAGCCCATCAAGGTGAGGATATTGGGGTGAACATTGATGGATATGGGGGTGGTTGGGGGGTTCCTTGTGGGCTGTGGTACCCAATGATGTCCAAAAGGCCCCATTGATGGAGGTGGGGATGGGTTGGAGCCCATCAAGGTGAGGATATTGGGGTTATGCATGGGGATATTGGGGTGAACATTGATGGATATGGGGGTGGTTAGGGGGTTCCTTGTGGGCTGTGGTACCCAATGATGTCCAAAAGGCCCCATTGATGGAGATGGGGATGGGTTGGAGACCATCAAGGTAAGGACTTGTTGGGTTTTGGGGTTCTGGATGGGGATATTGGGGTGAACGTTGATGGATATGGGGGTGGTTGGGGGGTTCCTTGTGGGCTGTGGTACCCAATGATGTCCAAAAGACCCCATTGATGGAGATGGGGATGGGTTGGAGCCCATCAAGGTGAGGATATTGGGGTTACCGGAGTCCCTTTGAGGAAAGGGGGGCACCCATGGGTGCTGTGGGTCTCACCTGTATCCCCTCATCCCCACACGTGCCCCCCTTTCCCTCTCCCAGCTCAAACTGGCCATGGCCAAGGGCTCGGAGGCGCCGTTGCCACCGGAAGGCTCCCTCGGCATTCCCGGTCTTCCCAGCACCGGCTCGGAGCCGGTGGCCTTGGACGCATCCCAGACTCGGGAACGCATCAAGCAGAAGATCAAGGAGGTGGAGGAGAAGCAACCAGAGATGAAGTCGGGGTTCATGGCTTCCTTCTTGGACTTCCTCAAGGCCGGCAAACGCCAAGCGGGGCCTCCCAGCGCCGCCAGCCCCACCAAGAGCCACCGCGGTGCCGCCGGCGCCACCAGCACCACCAGCACCACCAATCCCTTCCCAATGGGAGGTCCCATCCTGGCTGGCAGCTTGGAAGGGCCGGAAGGCGACGGATTGGTCATGGCTTGCCCCAGCCCTTGCAAGCGTTTGGATGAGGAGCTCAAGAGGAACCTGGAGACGCTGCCGTCCTTCTCGTCGGACGAGGAGGATTCGGTGAGCAAGAACCAGGACCTGCAGAAGAGCATCTCCTCGGCCATCTCGGCCCTCTACGACCCCAGCGACCGCAAGGACCCCGAGCTGGCGGGCGGCGGCGATGGCGACGCCGAGCCGACGTCGCCGCGGCACCAAGGTCGGCGATGGGGAGGGGATGGGGAGGAATGGAGGGGGGAGTGGGAGCTGTGGGGGTCAATGGGAGGCGTAGGGGTTAATGGGAGCCAGAGGGAGCCAGAGGGAGCAATGGGAGCCATAGGGAGCAATGGGAGTTACAGAGATCAATGGGAGCCATAGGGGTCAATGGGAGCCATAGAGATCAATGGGAGCCATAGAGATCAATGGGAGCCATAGGGGTCAATAGGAGTCATAGGAACCAATAGGAGCCATAGAGATCAATGGGAGCCATAGGGGTCAATGGGAGCCATAGAGATCAATGGGAGCCGTAGGGGTCAATAGGAGTCATAGGAACCAACGGGAGCCATAGGGAGCAATGGGAGCCATAGGGAGCAATGGGAGTTATAGAGATCAATGGGAGCCATAGGGGTCAATGGGAGCCATAGAGATCAATGGGAGCCGTAGGGGTCAATAGGAGTTATAGGAACCAATAGGAGCCATAGAGATCAATGGGAGCCATAGGAACCAATGGGAGCCATCGGGAGCAATGGGAGCCATAGGGAGGAATGGGAGCCATAGGGAGCAATGGGAGTTACAGAGATCAATGGGAGCCATAGGGGTCAATGGGAGCCATAGAGATCAATGGGAGCCGTAGGGGTCAATAGGAGTCATAGGAACCAATAGGAGCCATAGAGATCAATGGGAGCCATAGGGAGCAATGGGAGTTACAGAGATCAATGGGAGCCATAGGGGTCAATGGGAGCCATAGAGATCAATGGGAGCCGTAGGGGTCAATAGGAGTCATAGGAACCAATAGGAGCCATAGAGATCAATGGGAGCCATAGGAACCAACGGGAGCCATAGGGAGCAATGGGAGCCATAGGGGTGAATGGGAGTTATAGAGATCAATGGGAGTTATAGAGCTCAATGGGAGCCATAGGGAGCAATGGGAGCCATAGGGGTGAATGGGAGTTATAGAGCTCAATGGGAGCCATAGGGAGCCATGGGAGACATAGGGAGCAATGGGAGTTGTAGAGATCAATGGGAGCCGTAGGGGTAAATGGGAGCCATAGGGAGCAATAAGAGTCATAGGAACCAATAGGAGCCATAGAGATCAATGGGAGCCATAGGGGTCAATAGGAGCCATAGAGATCAATGGGAGCCATAGGGAGCAATGGGAGTTACAGAGGTCAATGGGAGTTACAGAGGTCAATGGGAGTTATAGAGATCAATGGGAGCCATAGGGGTCAATAGGAGCCATAGGGAGCAATAGGAGCCATAGGAACCAATAGGAGCCATAGGGGTCACTGGGAGTTATAGAGATCAATGGGAGCCATAGGGAGCAATGGGAGCCGTAGGGGTCAATGGGAGCCGTAGGGAGCAATGGGAGCCATAGGGAGCAATGGGATCCAGAGGGCTCAATGGGAGCCGTAGGGAGCAATGGGAGCCGTAGGGGTCAATGGGAGCCGTAGGGGTCAATGGGAGCCGTAGGGGTCAATGGGAGCCATAGGGAGCAATGGGATCCAGAGGGCTCAATGGGATCCAGAGGGATCAATGGGAGCCATAGGGTGCCATGGGAGCCATAGGGAGCAATGGGATCCAGAGGGCTCAATGGGAGCCATAGGGATTAATGGGATCCACACGGCTCAACGGGATCCAGAGGGCTCAATGGGATCCACAGGGATCAATTGGAGCCATAGGGATTAGTGGGATGCACAGGGCTCAATGGGATGCACAGGGCTCAATGGGATCCACAGAGATCAATTGGAGCCATAGGGATTAGTGGGATGCACAGGGCTCAATGGGATGCACAGGGCTCAATGGGATCCACAGAGATCAATTGGAGCCATAGGGGTTAATGGGATCCAGAGGGATCAATGGGATCCAGAGGGCTCAATGGGATCCACAGAGATCAATTGGAGCCATAGGGATTAGTGGGATGCACAGGGCTCAATGGGATGCACAGGGCTCAATGGGATCCACAGAGATCAATTGGAGCCATAGGGATTAGTGGGATGCACAGGGCTCAATGGGATGCACAGGGCTCAATGGGATCCACAGAGATCAATTGGAGCCATAGGGGTTAATGGGATCCAGAGGGATCAATGGGATCCAGAGGGCTCAATGGGATCCACAGAGATCAATTGGAGCCATAGGGATTAGTGGGATGCACAGGGCTCAATGGGATGCACAGGGCTCAATGGGATCCACAGAGATCAATTGGAGCCATAGGGATTAGTGGGATGCACAGGGCTCAATGGGATGCACAGGGCTCAATGGGATCCACAGAGATCAATTGGAGCCATAGGGGTTAATGGGATCCAGAGGGATCAATGGGATCCAGAGGGCTCAATGGGATCCACAGAGATCAATTGGAGCCATAGGGATTAGTGGGATGCACAGGGCTCAATGGGATGCACAGGGCTCAATGGGATCCACAGAGATCAATTGGAGCCATAGGGATTAATGGGATCCAGAGGGATCAATGGGATCCAGAGGGCTCAATGGGATCCACAGAGATCAATTGGAGCCATAGGGATTAGTGGGATGCACAGGGCTCAATGGGATGCCCAGGGCTCAATGGGATGCACAGGGCTCAATGGGATCGTGAGGGCTCAATGGGATCCACAGAGATCAATTGGAGCCATAGGGATTAATGGGATCCAGAGGGCTCAATGGGATGCACAGGGATCAATGGGATGCCCAGGGCTCAATGGGATCGAGAGGGCTCAATGGGATCCACAGTGACCCATGGCCCCCCTTGTTCCCATCTCCCCCCTAACCCCCCCTTTCTCTCTCTCTTCCCCCCCCCCCCCAGACCTTCCCCCCCCATCAGAACCCCCCCGCACCCCCCCAGCTCCGGAACCCCCCCAGCCCAGCACCACCTTGGCCCCTCGAGCCCCCCCATGGCCCCCGGCCCCATGGCCCCGGCATCACCGGTGGGGGCCGTGTCCCCGGTGCCGGTGCCGGTACCGGTGGGGGGGGGCGGCGGCGGAGGGGGGGGGTCCCCAGAGGCGGCTCAGGACCCACGGGCGCTGCACCTGGCGCAGAAGCAGGATGCGGCCGCAGTGTGTGGGGACACGGATGAGGAAGAGGAGGAGGCCGGGAGCGGAGGGGAAGGGATCTATAGGGAGAGGGATGAGTTCGTGGTGCGGGTGGAGGACGTGCCGGCGCTGCGGGTGAGCTGTGGGGTGGGCATGGGGTGGCTGTGGGGTGGGCATGGGGTATATGGGGTATGTGGGTTATGGGGATGGGAATGGGAGGGATGGATGGATGGATAATGGGATGGATGGGGTGTATGGGGTATATGGTTATGGGGATGGGATGGGAGGGATGGATGGATAATGGGATGGATGGGGTGTATGGGGTATGGGGTGGGGTGGGGATGGAGTATATGGGGTATATGGGTTATGGGGATGGGAATGGGAGGGATGGATGGATAATGGGATGGATGGGGTGTATAGGGTATGGGGTGGGGTGGGGATGGAGTATATGGGGTATATGGGTTATGGGGATGGGAATGGGATGGATGGATGGATAATGGGATGGATGGGGTATGGGGATGGGAATGGGAGGGATGGATGGATAATGGGATGGATGGGGTATGGGGATGGGAATGGGAGGGATGGATGGATAATGGGATGGATGGGGTGTATGGGGTATGGGGTGGGGTGGGGATGGAGTATATGGGGTATATGGGTTATGGGGATGGGAATGGGAGGGATGGATGGATAATGGGATGGATGGGGTGTATGGGGTATGGGGTGGGGTGGGGATGGAGTATATGGGGTATATGGGTTATGGGGATGGGAATGGGATGGATGGATGGATAATGGGATGGATGGGGTATGGGGATGGGAATGGGAGGGATGGATGGATAATGGGATGGATGGGGTATGGGGTATGGGATGGATGGGGTATGGGGTGGGGTGGGGATGGATGGAGTGTATGGGGTATGTGGGTTATGGGGATGGGAATGGGAGGGATGGATGGATAATGGGATGGATGGGGTATGGGGTGGAGTGGGGATGGCGTGGGGTGGGGATGGGAATGGGGGCTGGTAATGACTGGGAGGTGATGGAATGGGGTTTGAGAATGACTGGGAATGGGGCTGGGAATGGGGTTGGGGATGTGGCTGGGAACGGGGTTGGGAATGGGGTTGGGAATGGGGATGGGAAAGGGGATGGGAATGACTGGAATGGGGTTGGGGATGGGGCTGGGAATGGGGTTGGGAATGACTGGGGGCGATGGGATGGAGTGGGAGACGTGAAAAATACCTTATAGAGGGACTGGTTTATACTGGGATGGACTGGGAGGCAATGAATGGGATGTCTGTAGGGTGCTGTGGGGTCTTTATGGGGTATCTATGGGTTTCTATGGGGTCTCTATGGAGTGTCTATGGGGTATCTATGGGGTGTCTATGGGATATCTATGGGGTCTCTATGGGGTGACTATGGGTCTCTATGGGGTGTCTATGGGGTATCTATAGGGTCTCTATGGGGTGTCTGTGGGGTATCTATAGGTGTCTATGGGGTCTCTATGGGGTATCTATGGGTCTCTATGGGCTCTCTATGGGGTGTCTGGGTCTCTGAGGTCCGTGGGTCTCTGTGGGGTGTCTATGGGGTATCTATGGGGTGTCTGGGGTCTCTATGGGGTCTCTATGGGTCTCTGGGGTCTCTATGGGTCTCTATGGGGTCTTTATGGGTCTCTGGGGTGTCTGTGGGGTGTCTATGGGTCTCTATGGGGTATCTGTGCGTGTCTGGGGTCTCTATGGGTCTCTATGGGTCTATGGGGTGTCTATGGGTCTCTATGGGGTGTCTATGGGTATCTATGGGGTGTCTATGGGCTATCTATGGGTGTCTATGGGGTGTCTATGGAGTATCTATGGATGTCTATGGGGTCTCTATTGAGTATCTATGGGGTGTCTATGGGCTATTTATGGGGTATCTATGGGTGTCTATGGACTATCTACGGGGTCTCTATGGGGTGTCTATGGGGTCTCTGTGGGTCTCTATGGGTGTCTATGGGGTGTCTATGGGTCTCTATGGGGGCTCTATGGTGTGTCTATGAGGTCCCTATGGGTCCTTATGCATCCGTATGGGTCCCTATGGATCCCTATGGGTCCCAATGGGTCTCTATGGGTCCCAATGGGTCCCTATGGGTCCCTGTGGGTCCCTCACGCTGCCCCCCCCAGCTGGCGCTGCAGACGGGCCGGGAGCCCCCGCCGATCTGGCGCGTGCAGAAGGCGCTGCTGCAGAAATTCACCCCCGAGATCAAGGACGGGCAGAGGCAGTTCTGTGCCACCAGCAACGTGAGCGAGGGACCCCCGGAACGGGGGGACCCCAAAAACGGGGACACCCCAATAACAGGGACCCAGGAACGGGGGGACACCAAAAACGGGGACACCCCAAAAACGGGGACCCAGGAACAGGGGGACACCAAGAACGGGGGGAGCCGAGGAACAGGGGGAGCCCAGGAACGGGGACACCGAAAACAGGGGGACACCAAGAACGGGGACATAGGGTGCCCCATAGGTGTCAATGTCGGGGTGCCCCATAGGAATCAATGTCAGGGTACCCCATAGGTATCAATGTTGGGGTGCCCCATAGGTGTCAATGTCGATGTACCCCATAGGTGTCAATGTTGGGGTGCCCCATAGGAATCAATGTCAGGGTACCCCATAGGTGTCAATGTCGATGTACCCCATAGGTATCAATGTCGGGGTGCCCCATAGGTGTCAATGTCGGGGTGCCCCATAGGAATCAATGTCAGGGTACCCCATAGGTATCAATGTTGGGGTGCCCCATAGGTGTCAATGTCGGTGTACCCCATAGGTGTCAATGTCGATGTACCCCATAGGTGTCAATGTTGGGGTGCCCCATAGGAATCAATGTCAGGGTACCCCATAGGTGTCAATGTCGATGTACCCTATAGGTATCAATGTCGGGGTGCCCCATAGGTGTCAATGTCGGGGTGCCCCATAGGAATCAATGTCAGGGTACCCCATAGGTGTCAATGTCAGGGTGCCCCATAGGTGTCAATGTCGGGATGCCCCATCGGTGTCAATGTTGGGGTGCCCCATAGGGGTGCCCCATAGGTGTCAATGTCTGGGTACCCCATAGGTGTCAATGTTGGGGTGCCCCATAGGAATCAATGTCAGGGTACCCCATAGGTGTCAATGTCGGGATGCCCCATAGGTGTCAATGTTGGGGTGCCCCATAGGTGTCAATGTCGGGGTGCCCCATAGGGGTGCCCCATAGGTGTCAATGTCAGGGTACCCCATAGGTGTCAATGTCGGGATGCCCCATAGGTGTCAACGTTGGGGTGCCCCATAGGGGTACCCCATAGGAATCAATGTCAGGGTGCCCCATAGGTGTCAATGTCGGGATGCCCCATAGGTGTCAACGTTGGGGTGCCCCATAGGGGTACCCCATAGGTATCAATGTCGGGGTGCCCCATAGAGGGGGTCCACGTGGGTACTTGTGGGGTGATGCCCCCCATATCGGGGTACCCCTGACCCCCCCCCCGCCCCCCCCCAGTACCTGGGTTACTTCGGGGACGCGCGGCACCGGTACCAGCGCCTCTACGTGAAGTTCCTGGAGAACATCAACAAGAAGGACTACGTGAGGGTGTGCTCCCGGAAACCATGGCAACGGGGACCCCCGGGCAGGTGGGGACGGGTAACGGGGTAACGGGATAACGGGGTAATAACGGGGTAACGGGAGGGATAACGGGATAATAACGGGGTAACGGGAGGGATAATAACGGGGTAACGGGAGGGATAATAACGGGGTAACGGGAGGGATAATAACGGGGTAACGGGAGGGATAATAACGGGGTAACGGGAGGGATAACGGGATAATGGGATGGATAATAACGGGGTAACGGGAGGGATAACGGGATAACGGGAGGGATAATAACGGGGTAACAGGAGGGATAACGGGATAATGGGATGGATAATAACGGGGTAACGGGAGGGATAACGGGTAACGGGAGGGATAACGGGTAACGGGAGGGATAACGGGATAATGGGATGGATAATAACGGGGTAACAGGAGGGATAACGGGATAATGGGATGGATAATAACGGGGTAACGGGAGGGATAATAACGGGGTAACGGGAGGGATAACGGGATAATGGGATAACGGGAGGGATAACGGGATAATGGGATGGATAATAACGGGGTAACGGGAGGGATAACGGGTAACGGGAGGGATAATGGGTAACGGGATAACGGGAGGGATAACGGATAATGGGATGGATAATAACGGGGTAACGGGAGGGATAATAAGTAATGGATAACGGGTAACGGGAGGGATAACGGGAGGGATAACGGGTAACGGGAGGGATAACGGGAGGGATAATGGGTAACGGGAGGGATAACGGGTAATGGAAGGGATAACGGGTAACGGGATAACGGGTAACGGGAGGGATAATGGGTAACGGGAGGGATAACGGGTAACAGGATAACGAGTAATGGATAACGGGTAACGGGAGGGATAACGGGAGGGATAACGGGTAACGGGAGGGATAACGAGTAATGGATAACGGGTAACGGGAGGGATAACGGGAGGGATAATGGGTAACAGGAGGGATAACGGGGTAACGGGATAATGGGATAACGGGATGGATAATAACGGGGTAACGGGAGGGAAAACGGGAGGGATAACGGGTAACAGGAGGGATAACGGGTAACAGGATAGCGGGTAATGGGAGGGATAACGGGTAACGGGAGGGATAACAGGGTAACGGGATAATGGGATAACGGGATGGATAATAACGGGGTAACTGGAGGGATAACGGGTAACAGGAGGGATAACGGGGTAACGGGAGGGATAACGGGTAACGGGAGGGATAATAACAGGGTAACGAAAGGGATAACGGGTAATGGATAATGGGATAACGGGTAATGGGATAACAGGGTAACGGGATAACGGGTAACGGGAGGGATAACGGGGTAATGGGAGGGATAAAGGGATAACGGGAGGGATAACAGGTAACGGGAGGGATAACGGGTAACGGATAACGGGAGGGATAACGGGATAACGGGAGGGATAACGGGTAACGGATAATGGGAGGGATAACGGGTAACGGGAGGGATAACGGGTAATGGGTAACGGGAGGGATAGCGGGGTAATGGGATAAGGGGATAACGGGAGGGATAACGGGTAACAGGAGGGATAACAGGTAATAGGATAATGGGGTAATGGGAGGGATAACGGGTAATGGGATAACTGGATAACAGGTAACGGGTAATGGATAACGGGAGGGATTATGGGTAATGGGATAATGGGTAATGGGATAAGGGGTAACGGGAGGGATAACGGATAACAGGTAACAGGTAATGGATAATGGGATAACGGATAAAGGGGTAACGGGAGGGATAAACAGATAACGGGATAACGGATAATGGGAGGGGGGATGGATAATGGATAACGGGATGGATAACGGATAACGGGATAACGGATAGCAGGATAGTGGATAAGGGGATGGATAACAACGGGATAACGGGATGGATAATGGATAACGGGATGGATAACGGGATAATGGGATAACGGGATGGATAATGGATAGCAGGATAACGGGATAACGGGATGGATAACGGGATAATGGGATAACGGGATGGATAATGGATAGCAGGATAAGGGGATAACGGGATGGATAATGGATAACGGTTAACGGGATAACGGGATGGATAATGGGATAACGGGATAACGGGATCGATAACAGATAATGGGATAACGGTATAATGGGATGGATAATGGAGAACAGGATGGATAATGGGATAACGGATAACGGGATGGATAATGGGATAACAGGATAATGGATAACGGATAACGGGATAACGGGATAAAGGGGTAATGGGATAACGGGGTAATGGGATAACGGATAATGGGATGGATAACAGATAATGGGATAACAGACAATGGGATAATGGGATGGATAACGGGATAACGGATAATGGGATAACGGGATGGATAACAGATAATGGGATAATGGATAACGGGATAGCGGGATGGATAACGGGATAACGGATAATGGGAGGGATGGGGATGGGATGGATGGATAACGGATAACGGGAGGGGGATGGGGGATGGGATATGAGGGATGGGGATGGGATGGATGGATAATGGGATGGATGGGGTGTATGGGGGATGGGATGGGGTGGGGAGGGGGTGGGATGGATGGATAATGGGATGGGGGATGGGGTGTATGGGATGTATGGGATATGGGGATGGGGTGTATGGATAATGGGATGGATGGGGTATATGGGGGATGGGATGGGGTGGGGGATGGGATATGGGGATGGGAATTGCCTGTTGGGGGGGGGAGGGGTGCCCCCGCCCCCCCTTTATCCACATTGGATTTGGGGGGGGAGGGAGGGTGACCCCCCTCTTTTAACCCCCCCCTCCCCCCCCCCACAGGCGCCAACCCCACCCCAAGCCCAGCACCCCCAAACCTCCCCCCCCCCCCAAAGCTGACCCCCCCGAGAAGCCCCCCCCTCCCCCTCCTCCCCCTCCCCCCCATCCCCCCCATCCCCCCCCCCGGCCGGGCCGAGAGGGTGCCCCCA